TAAACACGTCAGGCCTTATTCCTGAAGAAAAAGGTGGGAACAGTCAAGTAAAACACGTCAGGCCTTATTCCTGAAGAAAAAGGTGGGAACAGTCAAGTAAAACACGTCAGGCCTTATTCCTGAAGAAAAAGGTGGGAACAGTCAAGTAAAACACGTCTTATCTTGATGAAAAAAAAAACACTTTAAAATGCACATGCTAAAAAAGCTGGTTGATTAATTTGATATAATTTATTACTATTATTAGTGTTATTTAAAATAATCAATTAATTTCCCTGAAGGCCAACTGGAAGGGTCAAAAGTAGTGTGTTGTCTGTCAGTAGACACTAAAATGAGTCACACAAGGGATGCTTAACATTTCAATTTGTACTGTTGTGACATCAGTAAAATGTGCAGATGCCATGAATCATGAGAAGAATTATGAATTCTGTAGGCTACAACACAGCATGACATATGAACTCTGTAGGCTACAACACAGCATGACATATGAACTCTGTAAACTACAACACAGCATGACATATGAACTCTGTAGGCTACAACACAGCATGACATATGAACTCTGTAGGCCACAATACAGCATGACATATGAACTCTGTAGGTTACAACACAGCATGACATATGAACTCTGTAGGCTACAACACAGCATGACATATGAACTCTGTAGGCTACAACACAGCATGACATATGAACTCTGTAAAATACAACACAGCATGACATATTAACTCTGTAAACTACAACACAGCATGACATATGAACTTCAAAAGCAAGAATAAAAAATATGCTACATAATTTTGGTTTTATTTACTCTTGAAACAGAACACTTTCAGGGAAGCACACATCTAGTTGAAATTATGATTAAATCCATTAATATCACAAAAATAACCAAGTTATTCATGTTTCTGATTATTCCAAGTATCCAAACTTCATGTAAGAATAACTGATTGAATGCATTTGATTAATGAGCTCGATGATAAATCAATTAGCATATTATACTAATTTCTCAGCGTATTTAGATATAATAAAAGATGATTGCCTAAACACGCTGACTTTACAACTTTGATTCAGCAATACAAAACTTTTAATTATAATTATGTTTCAGAATAAACACCAATCGTAAGTTACTAATTAATTATTGCCGAGTTTCCAGTAGCTATCAAAAACAATTAATTAATCCTGTCAAAAATATCATCCTCACTGTGTCAGTTACACTTCTAGAAAAAGCAATATTGTGTTTCTAATCCTTATAAAATTGATTGACTTTCATGTTCGTACTATATATATGGTTACTTTTAAGCTGTAATATTAAATACTAATATTGAAATGACAGATCTGGTGCCTTAGCATTATTCATTTACTGCACATTCAATTTCACATGGTTATTAAACTACTGTATATTGTTAGTAATGGTTTCTATTGCTGGGTGAGTTCTTTTGTGGCAATTTCACAACTTAACGTAAAGTCCAGACCATGTACAGAAAGGAGAAGCATTTTATATCTTCCACAACTAAGTCTAGAAGCTCAACACCTAATTCACAAATAAACCTCAGTAATCACTCACTTGTTAAATTTCCTCTTGACTGACTAAAACACTTAGTAACTCATTAACTAACTATCTACCAAGTCTAGACACACATCACAATGTCATACAAAAATTCCCTTTAGCAAACAATAAAAAATATCTAAATTAAAACATAGTATTATATATTACACGCCTCACTAATCAGCAATGAGATGATGACATGAGAAATTAGCTGCTTTAAAACAGTCTAATTTATTTACAAATGTCAAAATATTTGACATATTTAGGGGTGAATCTGTAACAGATCAAAGTGATAAGTATGATAGTCCAAAAGGTCTGCCATATTTATCAGTAGATATAACTGTGCTTACTAGCAATGACAAGGAAGTGTAATTATTTAACTTTTATGATTTTACTGGCTTTTTGTTTGAAATAAAGAATTCCTCACTTTAATAATCATAAGTAATATTAATATAGTTTTTATAAAATAAGTGCTCTTGGAGCAATAAATTCTTCTTTCTATTGACGGCATTTAGCAAGACAAAGGTGTAATTTATTGACCTTTGATTTGCTATGGTTTCATGTCTCTAAATATGTCAAATATTTCAATGGTTCTCAGTAAATTAGGTTGTTCCAAAAGCTACTAGCATAACTGTTTCAATGTTATGTTGATGGCTTTTAACAAAGAAAAACTGAAATGTGTATTTTAATCCTCTAATTCTAAGCAAGTATTATGAAAATACAAAGAAAAAATGTTTTCTTTCAATTTCTTATTTAATCAGGTCTGTACAGCACAGAACATTTTGTGAAATATACTTTGGTAAGTTATAAATGTGTATGTTACCTAGAAGTTAGAAGTAACACCATTTAACTGGACATTTGAAGGATCAACAAAAATAATAACATAGTTTATTTAAAATGTTGTTACCTGGAAGTAGGAGCATTCCACTAAAGAAATAAATCACTGATAATGGTATGTGTATGAAAAAACAACTAACAGTTTTTACCTGTATGTTAAATTATGCTATATAGATTTAGTAGTAGTATTACTAAAGACCAGAGACATGGTACTAGTAACTGAGGTTAATGTATTCTTAATATTTTAAAGAAAATTAAACTTAATGATCATCAACTTCCGATTCATGGCGTTTGTTACAATAGTCTAATAATCACTCAAACTTTTCCAAATTCCATATCTTTTTCTTACCACTCTACATTCGGATGTTTCCTCCAATGTCAAGTACACAGGTATTGTTGCACGGTGTAAAGCGCCCTCTCATGGTGCACACTAATTACGACGTCAAACTACGAATAATAATATCCTAAATTTAATTGGAATAACACAAAACAAGTAATTAGTAAATCACACAATAACGTTTTACATAAATTATGTATAAAAAGAGAAATTAATCTAAAAAATCCGTAAATAGAGCTCAAGACATAATCCGTAAATGCATAACATACTCACACTTAACAACTACGTTACGTATTAAGTGTTATGAATAAAAGACTTTAAGAAGTTATTGAATATTTAGAATCTATCCACGGTAGCTTCATCATCATTCCCGCCGATAAAGTTAACAACTTTGTTTTCATTAGTAAAAATCGGTATATTACAATGTTATGTAAGGAAATAGGGTTAAATCTAGATCCACTAACACCATCGGGTAATGAGGTGTACATCCGTCAAACCGATAAATAAAGTATCATACAAAAGCATGTTACAGCTTTATCAGACGGCGATGTACATTCTTAAAAAAAATCTACTAATGTAATACCTAAATTATTTTGGATTCACAGGCTATATAGAATACCATATATAAATATAGGTTTACTTCCGGTGCAAAATAGCTACAACTATAAATTTATATATTGTAGTAAGTAAAGCTCTGGAATACGGTAAAGAGCACTTAATTGAAGTGTTACATAAGAAAGGATCGGAATTATTCTGTTTGTTTTCATCGATACTTTTGGTTTTAGCAAACCATACATTAGATTACTAATAACTAAATTAAAAACATTGTTTCATATTTATAGTATTTTAACAATTTATCTGCTAAATAACTAAGGAGACCAAATGATGCATCATCAATGCTGCCTTATTCTTTCAATCCAATATAAATATAGGGTCACTGTGATTAGTAAAATATAACTCAGAATACCATAAGAGAACCGAAACAATTTAGTTACGCCATATATCTATTGTATTCGTGGTAACCCGAGCTTCCACAGGGAAGTTATGATAAAACATTATCAAGTAACGAAAAAAGAAACCTGGTTGTATGACGTGTCCATCTCGAGAATTCAAAATACAGCCGAAATGATATTTTTCCATTTAAATAAATATTATCGTTTGAAAGTTAATTTGTTTTTGAATTTTTAATCTAGAGTGCTCAATAAATGCAATGAAGCCAGAATTTTATAGACTGTGACTTGCAGGTGTAAACGGTTATAAAACTTGACCGGAGCTTCTCGTTTTGTTTTGGTGCCACTACTAGTACTAGATGAACTCATTGTATTGTTATTATAATTAAGTTGGACGAGTAAAAGTAACACGTAGTATTATTAATTGGTATTTTAACATAATAAATATAAAAATCCGTTTTGATTCAGAACATAGTCACAGGATTTGTCGAGTTCATTGTTGTTTGATAACCTGTTTAATAGGATTAGTACAATAGTTAACTTGTATTTGTAAGTTACAATAGTGAAGGAAAAAATAATGTTACACAGTGGCTATTCACACCCGACGTTGAGGTGGTGGCAGTCTGCTTCAACATCAATTTCTCCTAAAAACCTTATGTATCCAGTATTTCTGGTGTAAGTATGACCAAGTTGCACCTTGGTAACATTATATACAATATATATATGCTAAAGATCTAACTCGCAATGATATTAGTTATCTAATAATTTAAAGAAAATTTGTAAATATCTGTATGGTAATAATCTTCTAATTCTATGACATGCCATGACCAGCTTTTGTTAATCTCCAGCCTCGAAAGAAAACTGTTTAGAACTTAGAAGCTAATAGTGTTGATAAATTAAAATTTTTCTGTAGTACTAGTAGTTGTAAATAATATGTTTTGTCTTCATGTTTGGGTTTGGACACATTTGTTTTCAGGTTCTATTTATGTAGAGTATGTGTAATGTTTATATTGTGAAAAAATTGGTATCTGGACCAAACCTTTTTTTTTTTAAATCTGTGACAGAATACTTATGAGTTAGGCATTCAAATCGAAATAAATCATAATAATTATTCTGTACAAAAAGTTTATTTTTCAGTGAATATTAGTGCTTTCCAATTTCTAGGGATGAACCGGATGCAGTTCAAGATATATCAAGCATGCCCGAAGTCTCTCGTTATGGGGTTGAGAAAATTGTGAATTTTATTGATCCTCTTGTTAAAAAAGGGCTTACATCAGTTTTACTCTTCGGTGTACCTTCGAAGCTTCCTAAGGTTGGTCATAGTTTTCTAAAATATGTATGAAAGTTATTATTCTAGTAGAAGTAGAATCATTGGAGGTATGACATCCAGGCTTTTCTTGACCCTAATTGGACTTTTGTTTATGATTGAGTAATACCAATATTTCTAAAAATAACCACTGAGAAGTGCATTTGGTTTTGTATCTTGTATATTTTGTTAGAAATCCATGCAAAAGAAAAATAACTTTTTAATTTAAGTGAAATGAAAATTTTATTAGATTGGAATCTTAGATTTTAAAAACACAGTAATCATGTTAAAAAATTAGGTAACTAGATTTTTTTTTTATTATTATATCTGATGAATGGAAATGTGTATTAAGACTAAAATCTAATCTCCTTTAGATATTTGTCTCAAATTAAATTTTGTATGCCTTAACAACAACGAAGCGTGGGAAGCTGTAAAATCCTATAATTATGTGAAAGTTTTGTTTTATGTGTGTCAACAGGGAATTACATGGTTTTTCTCTCAAGAAAATATGACTGCCATCTCTTATTTTTGCTTGATTGCTTATGATACTATGACTTCATTACTGCTGAAATGCTATACATTTTTTGACTTATTATGTCCGAAATCTGTCTTTTTTTTCTTCTTTTCTTCTCATATCTAACCAAATCTTGAGCATGGAAGATCTTGTGAATGTTTAACAGTAAATAAACACATCAGACAGTTACAACCAGATATCTGCATTTAATACTGTTTCATGTGCATTATTAATTTATATACTTCTAATACAATACCTAGCCAAATAATTGAGTTATAGACAGTGTGAAAGAGAAATAATTCTAATACAACAATAAACAGTTTGAAGTAAATCTGGCGAAACATTACATGTGATTTTGGGATGACATAAAAATAAAAGTATAAAAGTATCAAGTGAATTTAAAAAGAAAGGAAAACATAATAGTTTCAGGAGTAAAGGTAAGGTCAATCATTTAGATTTTAAATTGATGTAGAAATTAATATTTATTTAAATTATATGTCAATAATTAATATATAACCTTGAACAAAGAGTTGTGTAGGACTTACTTTAGCAGTGTGTCAGTTAAACATTGATATATCCTTAATAAAGTTCTATACCCAGTACTAATACATCAGTTAAGCATTGATACATCCTTAATAAAGTTCTATACCCAGTACTAATACATCAGTTAAGCATTGATACATCCTTAATAAAGTTCTATACCCAGTACTAATACATCAGTTAAGCATTGATACATCTTTAAAAAAGGTCTATACCCAGTACTAATACATCAGTTAAACATTGATACATCCTTAATAAAGTTCTATACCCAGTACTAATACATCAGTTAAATATTGATACATCCCTAATAAAGTTCAATTTCTTTTCTGAATCATCAGGATGATAGAGCTTCTAATGCAGACAGTTCAGAAAATCCTGTACTTCTGGCCATTCCTAAGATAAGAGCTGCTTTTCCTGAACTTTTAGTAGCTTGTGATGTTTGTCTCTGTGCATACACAAACCATGGACATTGTGGTAAGTATACGTCAACAGTTGTTTTGCTTTGAACTCTAATATTTTTGTTAATTAACTTCAAAGTTTTCTTTAAAAAAAAGCCTATAATCATTAATAATGAGTAAATGCAGTGGCTTATATAATTATTATGTGTAACTTGGTTTTTTTATGACTGTTTCAAAAGGTTTTGTGATGGAAATATTCCTTGATTAGTACCAGTAATTAAATTGAACAATAAGCATGATTGTGTAGTTTGATTCATATAGGTTTTCACTTGTTAGAACATCTTGGTTTAATAAATGCTTCAAATAGAATTAGCTAGGAAAACAAATGAAGCAAACAGATAATTAACATTTTATAGTTTAAATGTTTTTTGGAATTTTTGTGTTCTATGTAACAAGTAAACTTAGTTGTTCAGACGTTCTTAGTTTCAAGACAATTTAGTCACTGCATTGGAGTTTTGTTATTAACTTGCAAACTAAAGAACAATGTTACAGTAATAATATGTAAAACTTGACTGGGGTCCTACTGCAGACAAAAGCAATGTATTAACTTAAACGTATTTGTTACTCTGTGTGTGACTGAAGGTTTGTGAGTTAGGTTAGGTTAAGGTTATGTATATTTGTGTACATAGTTTTGGTGAACATTACTTGTAGGGGTGGGAGCTTAGTTCGAAGCTTGTAGTATGTGCAAAAATATTCAAGGCACTGGTGTGAAGTAATAGGTCATTGGTGTGCATAGAGGTTAATATCACTTTCAAGTAAAAATAATATTAACATTTTTCATGCCGTTACGTCTATTTTAAAACTGCTAAATTATTTGAAGATTTTTTTTTGCCTGATACAGGACAGTTCTGATAGTAAAGTACAGTAGGTTATCGTGGGATATTACCCAAACATGTTTATTTTTCGTTTTCTTTCTCTGACCAAAATTAAGCACTTAAGAGTTAAAAAAAGCTGCTAATCACAAATTCAGAGGTAGTCATTCCTTACAAGTAACCTCGTTTCCAACATTTTGTAGAGCAAAAATATTGGTTTTTTTTAGCTATAAGAAGAAGAACAGTTTTAATATTTATGATTTGTTTTAAATATTAGTTTTTCCTGATTATCATCATATTAAAATTCTAATCAAGGTTTTTGGAACAAATAGGTTGGTTATAACATTTTATTCAAAGTATAAATCATATATTATCATAAGGTTAGTTAATTGTAAAAACCTAAAATGTTTCATATACTTCAGGTATTCTTCATTCTGATGGTACAATAAACAATGAAGCTAGTATTCGACGACTTGCCGAGGTTTCTGTTGCTTACGCTAAAGCTGGTAAGCTGATGTTTCTGTGAAAAAAAATAATTGTATTTCTTTTTTCAGTAATTATTACAGCTTTTACTCTTGTTAACTTACAATTGATTGTAGTTAAAACATTTAGACACTGAATACTGACCTAATAAGTTAGAAACAAACACTGAATAACTCGTATGGATTCTAAAAGATGTATTGTTATGTTTGGTGAGAATACATGTAATTCCTTTGTATTCTCAGGTGAACTGGAACCAATAGATAAGCTGTTAATGCTACCTGTAACGGAAGTTTCATGGAGTTTGTATGTACAGTGTGTAATAAATCCGACTCAACCAGACAGTTTGAAAGGAACTTTGTTACAAGTAAAAAATCTACAACGTTTTGTTACTTCTAATAAAGTTTCTTTCATTACCCATTCAACCTGTTTCCAAACTTTATTTATGGTATACATATATTATGTATGCATTTAATATGTAAGTCAACATTTAGAATTAAAAACCTGGTGAAAGCCAAAGAAACTACCCATTCCTATGGACTTCTGGACCATATATGTGAAAGTAAGTTTAACTCTTCTGTATTAGTCCCTAGGCTGTCCAAACACAGCATCAGGCATGTACCTCTTGTTTCTGAGTCCAGCCATTCCAGGTCCTCTTTCACGTACGTTACATAAGCTGCTTCACGTGACCACTGTGGCAGATCTTCACA